GTAGGCGAGGGGTGGGTGAGGGGTGGGTGAGGGGTTGGTCAGATGTGAGGGGTTGGTGAGTTGTAGGTGAGGGGTGGGTGAGGGGTTGGTCAGATGTGAAGGGTGGGTGAGTTGTAGGTGAGGGGTGGGTGAGATGTAGGTGAGGGGTGGGTGAGGGGTGGGTGAGGGGTTGGTCAGATGTGAGGGGTTGGTGAGTTGTAGGTGAGGGGTGGGTGAGTTGTAGGTGAGGGGTGGGTGAGATGTAGGTGAGGGGTGGGTGAGGGGTGGGTGAGGGGTTGGTCAGATGTGAGGGGTTGGTGAGTTGTAGGTGAGGGGTGGGTGAGTTGTAGGTGAGGGGTGGGTGAGATGTAGGTGAGGGGTGGGTGAGGGGTGGGTGAGGGGTTGGTCAGATGTGAAGGGTGGGTGAGTTGTAGGTGAGGGGTGGGTGAGGGGTGGGTAAGGGGTTGGTGAGATGTAGGTGAGGGGTGGGTGAGTTGTAGGTGAGGGGTGGGTGAGTTGTAGGTGAGGGGTGGGTGAGGGGTGGGTAAGGGGTTGGTGAGTTGTAGGTGAGGGGTGGGTGAGTTGTAGGTGAGGGGTGGGTGAGGGGTGGGTGAGTTGTAGGTGAGGGGTGGGTGAGGGGTGGGTGAGGGGTGGGCGAGTTGTAGGTGAGGGGTGGGTGAGCGGTGGGTGAGGGGTGGGTGAGTTGTAGGTGAGGGGTGGGTGAGGGGTGGGTGAGTTGTAGGTGAGGGGTGGGTGAGTTGTAGGTGAGGGGTGGGTGAGGGGTGGGTGAGATGTAGGTGAGGGGTGGGTGAGGGGTGGGTGAGTTGTAGGTGAGGGGTGGGTGAGTTGTAGGTGAGGGGTGGGTGAGGGGTGGGTGAGTTGTAGGTGAGGGGTTGGTGAGTTGTAGGTGAGGGGTGGACGAGGGGTGGGTGATGTGTAGGTGAGGGGTGGGTGAGGGGTGGGTGAGTTGTAGGTGAGGGGTGGGTGAGTTGTAGGTGAGGGGTGGGTGAGGGGTGTGTGAGGGGTGGGCGAGTTGTAGGTGAGGGGTGGGTGAGGGGTGGGTGAGATGTGAGGGGTGGGTGAGTTGTAGGTGAGGGGTGGGTGAGTTGTAGGTGAGGGGTGGGTGAGGGGTTGGTGAGGGGTGGGTGAGGGGTTGGTCAGATGTGAGGGGTGGGTGAGGGTTAGTGAGATGTCGGTGAGGGGTTGGCGAGATGAGAGTGAGGGGTTGGTGAGCTGTAGGTGAGGGGTGGTGGGTGATAGGAAATAAAAGTTTGTTTTAGAGATCACGTGACACAGCCGGCTGCTCACACAGCACGCACTGAGGGCTGCCGCTGTTGATCAGGCGAGCAGGGGGCGCAACTTGCAGTCGGCACGGCGCACGAGAGAGCGCGTGGTTGGAACGACGCCCGGCCGCCTTTGTCTCCCCGGTGCTGACGTTTACACACCGCGGCAGTTATCCGTTTTCGGCTGAGTCGACCTTAAAGGCGGCAGCGCCACGCGGGCTGCGTGGTGGGGGACTGCCGCCCCACCGATGTCTCGCCGGTGATGGGGAGGAGCGAGATGAGATTGTGATCGCTCTGCGTGTACCGCGCTGCCGGAATGCCGCTGTTATGTAACGTCGCCCGACACGCCCGCGAACACTCCGTGCTCTCGGACGGCGCGGGGTCAGAGGTTATGGGACGGGGTGGGGGTTTGGGGGGGGGGGGATTGGGGGGATTTGCGGTGTGCGAGTGGGAGAAGGGGGGGGGTATCGCTATGGCCCCGGAAAGCGGTGAATGCTCGTGGTACACAATGGTCGGGGTGGGGGGGGTGGTGTAAGACGACCCGTGTGGCGGTGACGAGGTATGGCTAAGGGGTAGCGTGAGCTATTGGTCGGGGTAAAGTCACGGGTCTAGGGTTAGGGGGGTATGGCGAGGGGTAGGGTTAAAGTAGTGGGGGTAGAGGCATTGCGAGGGGTACAGTAGAGGTAGGGGTGATGTTAAGGGTTGTGACGAGGGTTACAGAGTTCGCAGTAGAGAGATAGCGCTCAGGATATGGCTAGAAGCGTGGGGTGGGGGGCTGGAGGAGGAGGAGGAGGAAACGCGGAGCGGAATGGTGACTCCTGAAAATTCCCCGCTGGTGACGGCACGGAAGGTGACGCGCAGCGAGCGGACGGCGCCGCGAAACGGAACCCGCGAATTCATTCACAGAAGCCACCACCACCACCATCACCTCCCTCTCTCTCTTACCGATCGATCGATCGCTCATTCAGCGGAACGATCACGGCGACGTGCGTGAGTGCGTCGTGGAATAAACGGTGGCGCAGTGGTTGGCGCACTGCGCACACTGCGCACGCGGACCCAGCGACGCGAGTTCGAGTCCCGCTCACGGACGAATATCCGAAAGGGTTCCTAGCCTCCCCTAGGTCGACTCAGCACTCTACAAAGAGCCCCCCCCCCCCACCCACCCCCTCCTCCTCCTCCCCATGTAGCTTTAACAGACTGTTGGGACAAGTGCCGCCCGCGAGCACCTGCTCGGGGGAGCACAGCGCACGAGAGGGTTGGTGTGGCCAGTACCACGCCCGGCCGCCTTTGTCTCCCCAGTGGTGATTGTTACACACCAAAGCAGGTACTAATCTGAGTCGACTTAGGGGAAGGGCGAGATATTCGTTCACTGATGTTGGCCGTGAGTGGGAATCGAACTGGGGTCGTGCGCGTGTGCACGCATCACCTGCCTCGCACCGCGCGTTGCCGGCCGTGCTAATCAGAGGTGCGGGAGGAAGGACAAAAAACGAGTTTTTTTCCAATTAGGATTTGAAAGTGTCATAGCTCCAGTGGCTTCCTAATATCGGAAGGAGGCAAGAGCGTTCCAGGCGGCCGCAGAAGGGCGCCTGCGGTGACCGCCGCCGTCTTTGTCCGATGGCCCAGCGTGTCGCCGCGTCGGCCGCGCTAACCGCTGCGCCACCAATCCCCCGTTCACAGCGGCTGCTGTCGGAACCAACGCCAGCTCGGGTCCACAGCGCCGGCAGGGGAATTGCGACACCAGCCAGGTGAGCGGCGGGGCGGGTGAGTCACGGGAGGAAGACCACCACCTCGCACCCATCGCTGCGTCACCCACGCGAGGAACGTTTGATTTTGATTTTTTTTATCGAAAAGTTGCCGAGCACAGCAGACCCTGGAGACTCAAACCGTCAGGCGGCCGGCAACGGACCGCACACGTCTACGGTGGCAAGACATGCGAGTGGAATGGCCGAGAATGTTAACGAAGCCGTGGTTGCGTGCCCTATAATGTCGCCAAGTTTCCAGCGAGAAGTATTGAGCTGCCTTGTCTGACCGTCGCGGAGGGGACCGCTCGGGCGGGTTGGGCAAAGAGCGCGGGCCTGCCTCGTGAGTGGACGACTCAACCAGGGCCGCGGGGAGGGATGTCCGAGCGGCTCCGTGTGATGTCTGCGTCCTCGTGCCGTTCATGAACACAGGATGATGATGATGATGGCGATGGCGGCGACGACGACGACGCTGCCCACGACCGGAGCGCGGAATTGACCACCGCTCGGTCTCGTGTCGTGACGCAGACAGCTGGCCCAGCTGGGCCGACGTCGCAAGGGGCGTCTGTGGAAGGGACAGCTCGCGTCTGCGATGGTGCCCTCCCCCATACGCCACCGCCCGCCGGGGAGAAAGAAGCAGAAAGTTCGACAGGAGTGGAATTCGCTTTGGTTTATTTCGTCTCAGAAAGCTCAAAAGGCTCGCGCTGCCTCTGCTCCTCGTTCACAATCGTGAATCATCGACCACATCACTCACCATCACCACAGTCACCACCACCACCATCAGTACCTCCACCACAATCACCACCATCACAATCCCCACCATTCTCGCCATCATCGTGGTTGTCTTCCGCTCACCGAGCCCATCCTTTATAACGTGTGTCACTGTCGCAGTCAACATCACCACAACTACCACAGCAGTCGCGACACGAGGATGGTGGGTGGCGGTGGGTGGTGGTGCTTGACCTGACGGCCATCGTGGACTCCGTATAAATACTGCGCGCAATAAATATCTCCTCGCCTCTCACGCGAAACGTGACCCTTGACACCAACATTGACACCACAGTGGACACGTGGCCATATTGCCTGTAAACACGGGAATTCAAGTAAAGTCTCCCCCGGCCGTCCGGATCCGACCCGGCCTCAACCTTCACGCCCCCCACCTGCCCCTCCCGCGTCCGTTCATCACTCCGCCAGAGCTCTCACCCGTCTCTGAGCTCTCTTCATCTCTTCAGCCCCACGTCGTCTCGTTCCCCAGGATCAAAGCAACCCTAAACCCCTCCATTGCAGGTCTCCTCGTTGCCAGGTCACCTCTTCCACAGTCCATGGAACACCTGTTCCTCCCCCCCCCCAGTTGTGCCGTGAGCCCCCCCCCAGTTGTGCCGTGAGCCCCCCTCCCCCAGTTGTGCCGTGAGCCCCCCCCCCAGTTGTGCCGTGAACCCCCCTCCCCCAGTTGTGCCGTGAGCCCCCCTCCCCCAGTTGTGCCGTGAGCCCCCCCCCAGTTGTGCCGTAAGCCCCCCCCAGTTGTGCCGTAAGCCCCCCCCCCAGTTGTGCCGTGAGCTCCCCCCCCAGTTGTGCCGTAAGCCGGCCCCCAGTTGTGCCGTGAGCTCCCCCCCCAGTTGTGCCGTAAGCCCCCCCCCAGTTGTGCCGTAAGCCCCCCCCAATTGTGCCGTGAACCCCCCCCAGTTGTGCCGTGAGCCCCCCCCCAGTTGTGCCGCAAGCCCCCCACCCCCGAGCGACCCGTCTCTATTGCATCATAATAATACAAAACATCTACAAAACCACGCGGTGCACTGCGAAGCCAGCCTTGGCAGGCGCCCAACGTCCACCTTTCACAGTCACTCCGTGCGCGTGGTGGAGTCGTGGGGTAGGGGGGGGGGGGCCTTAGACATCCGCCATGGCTTTGGCACGGAGCCCCCCCCCCCCCCCCGCAGAGTCCCTGCAGACAACCGGCAGAGTCACGTGTCCAGGCGTGACCCCCCACCCCCCCCAACACGCACCCCCTCCCAAATCGTTTGCAGGCGGTCATCAACCCCCCCCCCCACGCCCTCTCGCTGTCACAGCTGGTAGGGGTACGTCTCGAGGTAGCCCTGCAGCAGGGAGGGCAGCTGTAGCTGCTCGGGCTTGCGGCCCCCGAGCGCGCGGTGCACGGCCTTGCGGGCGAGGTGCTGCAGCTGCGGCACGCGCGTGTGGCGCAGCGGCCGCGTGAGGAGCAGCGGCGTTCGTCCCTTGCCCGCCACCCCGGCCGCCGCTCTCGCCGCCGCCTCCTCCTCCTCCTCCTGCCGCCGCCGCTGCTGCTGCTGCTCCCGCTGCTGCTGCTGCGCTCGCCGCTTCTCTGCTAAGGACCCCCTCTCCGTGACCGCGGGGGGCCCCCTCTGCGCGTGCCGGTGGAGTGCACCCCCGCCACGGCCACCACCCCCTCTCTGCGCGGCGTTGTTGGCGCTGTCGTTGTCGTTGTTGTTGTCGTCGCCGCCGCCGCCGCCGTTGTTGGGGTCGGCACCGAGGGGTCCCGCGGGGCGCACGTAGTGCTCCAGGAGCTTGAGCACGCAGTCGAAGCCGGGCAGCGCGTCTCGGCGCTGGCTGCACTCGAGGCGGAATCGCCCCGCGTGGAGCTGCACCCGCACGCTCGTGGCGCCGAGCCGCGTGCGCAGCGTGAGGCTGAAGAGGTGGCGCGGGTCGGTGCTGTCGCGCACCAGGAAAGTGCCCACGGGCTGCGAGGCGAGCAGACGGCGAGCCTCGGGCCCGGCCACGGAGCCCCAGTAGAAGCCGCTCTCGGCGAGGGCCGCCACCGTGCGCTGCACGGCGAGAAGCTCCTGCGCCGAAGTGAACGAGCGCAGCCGCGTGGCCACGGGGGCCGCGTCCACGACCGCCGACGACGAAGAGGACGAGGAGGGGGCGGAGGACGAGGAGCGCGGGGGTCGAGGCAGCGGAGGGGACACGGGGCCCGGGTGCGGGGCCCACGCGCGCGGTTCCCTCCACAGGCGCGGGGTTCGTGAGTCGGTGCCGGGCTCGCTGGCGAAGGAGTGACCCCCGATGGGAGCGGCGGCGCTCCCCGCGGCGGCCACGCGCACTCCCATCGCGGACGCTGCGTCCAACTCGCGGCGACCTGGCAGGGGAGGGGAGGGAGGGGGGTTAGAGGTCAGCGAAGCTGTCGGCGCTGACCCTCACCTGGGCCATGACCTTAGCGATGGTTCTAACACTGCGCACCAAATGTGACGAACTTCGAGTGTGGTGATAGACCCTAACCCTGACCGCCCAAAGCAAGGAATTGCACTTCGATACTGCATGAATACACAACACGTGATGTGTTTGTGCCCTAACCATGATACTAACCGTGCCCTGTCACTGACCCTACTTGACCCTAACCTTAGCCCAGACCCTGCTCATGAACCTAAACACTCATTCGTGATCCAAACATAACCCTAACCTTGACCAGGTAAACATACGTGACAGGCTCTGGGTTGACGTCGGTTGGGAGTTACAGCCAAAACACCCCAGCAGCTAATCAAGTCGATCACGCCGTTACATGTCACATGTCGCTTCTCGCCTGCCACCTATACGCGTGTTAACATGTCACCAGGCACGGAGTGGGGGAGAGAGCCACGGGGCGCCGAAGGGAGACTCGCTTACCCGGGCAGATGAACCCCATGGGCTGGCGGAGTCCACTGCTCTCGGCGTCCGCTCTAATCCCGATACGGGGCCGAGGCAACGAGCGAGTCCCGGTAAACCGGAGCGTTGGTTCCCGGGAGCGGGGGGGGGGGGGTCCTGCAGTGTACGAGTCCCGGAGCGTTGGTTCCCGGGGGGGTCCTGCAGTGTACGGGTCCCCTGAGCGCGAGTCGCCGTGCGCGGCTCCCACCGTCCGTCGTGGTTCAATCTGCCGCGACTGCGAACGCCTCTGGCTCCCGTCTCGGTGCCTCATTTAAGAGAGCAGGGGGGGAGGGAGGCAGGGGGGAGGGAGGGAGGGGATTGGGGGCGGCCCCGGGGGGTGGGGGCACTGGGTGGAGGGGCTGAGTTTCCTCAATACACGCGGCTCGCACGTGGTTTCGCGGAAGAGATTCGCGGTGGGATTCTAGTAAAAGTACGCCTTACAGGAAGGGCGGCCCCGCCCCCATGCCACCCCCCAACACCACCACCACCACCGTGTGCCCAGGGGCGAGCCCGGACTCCCCTCCTCCCCTCCCTCTCGTTTACGTTTCTGTAAAGGCAACGAGGAGGAGGAGGAGAGTACGCGATGTTCCCTTTCGATTCACACAAAGAGGCCAGAGCCGAGTGATGCGAATAGCCCGGCTCCATAGCCCCCTCCCCCAACCCTCATTCATCCCTTGCCTCACCCGTTTCTTGTACTGGCCACTCATCGGCTGACTCAACAGTCTCACTCCTCGCTGCTCAACTCAAACGGGCTCCGTCGTTCACGCACTCAGCCACGGGCACGGGCTAGTCCTTCTGTTCGCCTTATCGGACTGTGTTTGGGGTCGCACGTGATGACGACGAGCGCACCCATTAGGGCCGGACGCGGGGCACGAAGGGAAGGGGTGGAGGACCAGCACGGCGCAGCGCCCCCGGCCGCCTTTGTATCTCCAGATCCTCATTTAAGGACACACTCAAGTCTGCACACACTGAAACTATAATTGACTCACTGTACCACGAACCCACCCGCCCGCCTGCCCCTTCGCTCGAACGCCCATTCAAACGCTCCGTCATTCACGCACTCGCCTGCTCACTCAACCACTCACTTACCCACCAGCTCATCTCATCAACTCACCCTCACTCACCGAGTCAGTAAGTAAGCGGGTTAGTGAATGAGCAGGTGAGTGGCTGAGTGAGCAGATGAGTGAGTGGCTGGGTGAGTGATCGGGTAAGCGAGCGAGTGGCTGAGTGAGTGAGCAGGTGAGTGATTGGGTGAGGGAGTGAACAGGTGAGTGGGTGAACAGGTGAGTGAGTGACTGAGTGATGAAGTGAGTGAGTGGATAAGTGCTCAACTAAGTGAGTGGCTGAGTGAGTGATTGGCTGAGTGAGTGGGTGAGCAGGTGAGTGAGTGATCAAGTGAGTGAGTGGCTAAGTGATCAAGTAAGTGAGTGGCTGAGTGAGTGAGCAGGTGAGTGATTGGCTGAGTGAGTGGGTGAGCAGGTGAGTGACTGAGTGATAAAGTGAGTGGCTAAGTGATCAAGTAAGTGAGTGGCTGAGTGATTGAGCAGGTGAGTGATTGGCTGAGTGAGTGGGTGAGCAGGTGAGTGAGTGATCAAGTGAGTGAGTGGCTAAGTGATCAAGTAAGTGAGTGGCTGACTGAGTGAGCAGGTGAGTGATTGGCTGAGTGAGTGGGTGAGCAGGTGAGTGGGTGACTGGGTGATGAAGTGAGCGAGTGGCTAAGTGATCAAGTGAGTGGCTGAGTAAGTGAGCAGGTGAGTGATTGGCCAGATGAGTGTGCACGTGAGCGAGTGACTGAGTCAGTGAGAAGAGTCTCTCTTCTTGGAAGCCCCCAAGGACTTGAACGTAAAGCACCGAGTTCCGGAGGCCGGGATCGCCGAGTTCCAACTCTGAACGCCACCGTCTCGCGATCGAGACTCGCGCTGCGCCCTGACCATACGGGCGGGGCGAGGAGCGCACTGCCCGGTTCCGTTCTCAGCCCAGTCACCCACGGCTAAGCCAAAAACACCACATTGTATCACAATCCTCCTCCTCCTCCTCATCACCATCGTCGTCACCATAACGCGATGCAATGCGGATACGTGACGCGGCGTCTGGATGTGACCGCAATCTCATCGCGATGTACAGAGACGGTGGGGCGTCATCTGCGGTGAGTCATGGGTCTCGATGTGACTCCATGGGTCTCTGTGTAGTCTGTGGGTCTACGCGTGAGTCTGTGGGTCTCTGTGTGAATATATGGGCCTGTGTGAGGGTATATGGATCTCTGTGCGAGTCTGTGGGCCTATGTGTGACTATGAATCTCTGTGCGAGTATATGGGTCTCTGTGTGCGTTTATGGATGGCTGTGCGAGTCTATGGGTCTCTGTCTGAGTCTGCGGATCTCTGTGTGAGTCTACGGATCTGTGTGTGACTATGAAATCCCTATGCGAGTATATGGGTCTCTGTGCAAATTTATGGATAGCTGTGTGAGTCTACGGATCTCTGTGTGAGTCTACGGATCTCTGTGTGAGTCTGTGGGAGAGGGGCAGGCAGTCATAGGCAGATTTAGAGGAGGAAGGTCTTGAGCCTGGACTTGCACGGGGGGCTAGGAGTGTGTCGGCACCAATTGGCGGCCGGGGAATGCGAGTTCCAGACAGTGGGGGCAGCAGAGAAAAATGAGCGACCTCCCACTGAGCGACATTCATTTGGTGCTTGCAGTACGTACTGCAAGCACCAATGTACGGCTCTGCGTCGACCAAGTAAGTTGATTTCCAATGGTTCGCCGCCGTGGTCCGTGCCGTCGAGGAGGGTGCTGCGTGGGGGTGGGTGGATGAGCGGGGCCCGTTCAGATATCACTCGCCACTGATGTTAGCCGGGGGCGGGGCGGCGCAATGGACCACAGGAGGCCGACGCCGGGTTCGCCGAGCAGTGCGCTGAGCACTGCACCACCGCCCTCTCCCATAACAGCAACAACAACAACAACACAAATTGTTGACCCACGAGAGCCTCGCCGTGACTCGTCGTGAGCAGCGCGCTACTGCTGCGGCGTGGTGGTGGTGGTGGTTGTGGTGGTGGTTGTTGTGCCGTGACCCGATCGCGGGGTGAGGGGTGCTTGGGGGTCTCGCCCCCACCCCCTTGATGAATAACAGTGCCCCCCCCCCCCCACACACACACCCCCCACACCGACCCCACACCCCCCACAACCCCCCCACACACCCCCACACACCCGCCCACACACCCCCACACACCCGCCCACACACCCCCACACACCCCCACTACACTCCCCCCCCCACACACCCACAGGGGAGGGGTGCGTGGGGAGGGGGGTGGTGAGGTGGGAGGCAAATTGTCCCCAGCTGCGTGGGGGTTGGATACATCCAGCACGCGAAGTGAGCTCACTCACACAGACACACACAGACGTACACACAATCATGCAGAGGGTCACAAAAGACATTTACACAGACACACACGCAACAGACTCGTGCAGACACACTCGCTCGCACAGGCATTCACGCTCAATACACTCACTCACTCAGCCACTCACTCACCTACTCACTCGCACACTCACTCAGCCACTCACTCACCTACTCACTCGCACACTCACTCAGCCACTCGCCCACTCACTCAGCCACTCACTTACCAAATCACTCACCCACTCACTCAGCCACCCACTCACCTACTCACTCAGCCACTCACCCACTCACTCGCCCACTCACTCAGCCAATCACTCGCCCACTCACTCCCCCACTCAGCCACTCATCCACTCACTCACCCACTCACTCAGCCACCCACTCACCTACTCACTCACGCACTCACTCGCCACTCACTCATCCACACACTCAGCCACTCACTCACTCGCCCACTCACTCAGCCACCTACTCACCTACTCACTCACCCACTCACTCAGCCACTCGCCCACTCACTCAGCCAATCACTCGCCCACTCACTCACCCACTCACTCACCCACTCACTCACCCACGCCCAACTCACTCATCGCCGTGAGTCACGGTGCGCGATAGTTGCAGGCGACAGTCGCGGCTCCAGTGCGGAGCCCTGCGTGGCTCCCGCTACCGGCTCTTTCCATAAACCCCCTCCACCCAGAACCCCCTCTACCCCCCGCCCCACCCAGAACCCCCTCCACCCCGAGAACCCCCTCCGCCCCGAACCCCCTCCACCCAGAACCCCCTCCACCCAGAACCCCCTCCACCCAGAACCCCCTCCACCCAGAACCCCCTCCACCCCGAGAACCCCCTCCGCCCCGAACCCCTTCCACCCAGAACCCCCTCCACCCAGAACCTCCTCCACCCAGAACCCCCTCCACTCAGAACCCCCTCCACCCCGAACCCCCTCCACCCAGAACCCCCTCCACCCAGAACCCCCTCCACCCAGAACCCCCTCCACCCAGAACCCCCTCCACCCCGAACCCCCTCCACCCAGAACCCCCTCCACTCCGAATCCCCTCCACCTCGAACCCCCTCCACCCAGAACCCCCTCCACCCAGAACCCCCTCCACCCAGAACCCCCTTCACCCAGAACCCCATCCACCCAGAACCCCCTCCACCCAGAACCCCCTCCACCCAGAACCCCCTTCACCCAGAACCCCCTTCACCCAGAACCCCCTCCACACAGAACCCCCTCCACCCCGAGAACCCCCTCCACCCAGAACCCCCTCCACCCAGAACCCCTTCCACCCAGAACCCCCTTCACCCAGAACCCCCTTCACCCAGAACCCCCTCCACCCAGAACCCCCTCCACCCCGAACCCCCTCCACCCAGAACCCCCTTCACCCAGAACCCCCTCCACCCAGAACCCCCTCCACCCAGAACCCTCTTCACCCAGAACCCTCTCCACCCAGAACCCCCTCCACCCCGAACCCCCTCCACCCAGAACCCCCTCCACCCAGAACCCCCTCCACTCCGAGAACCTCCTCCGCCCCGAACCCCTTCCACCCAGAACCGCCTCCACCCCGAGAACCCCCTCCACCCAGAACCCCCTCCACCCAGAACCCCCTCCACCCAGAACCCCCTCCACCCAGAACCCCCTCCACTCAGAACCCCCTCCACCCAGAACCCCCTCCACCCCGAGAACCCCCTCCACCCAGAACCCCCTCCACCCAGAACCCCCTCCACCCAGAACCCCCTCCACCCCGAACTCCCTCCACCCAGAACCGCCTCCACCCAGAACCCCCTCCACCCAGAACCCCCTCCACTCAGAACCCCCTCCACCCAGAACCCCCTCCACCCCGAGAACCCCCTCCACCCAGAACCCCCTCCACCCAGAACCCCCTCCATTCCGAATCCCCTCCACC